AGGAACAAAAAGATTTTTCCCAGCAGCTCCAAGGGTCTGTTACTGACATTTCACTACCACATGGTACAAGGAATACCCATTGGCATTGGTGGAAATTACTTGCATCACACAACAGAGGAGCAGGGCCCAAAGGAAGTTTAACTGTTAAAAAGAGCCATGCAGTAGACAGACTTATGAGTGGGTCTTAGTGCTCTGCAGGTCTCTGAGCTCATCTGCAAGAAATCCTCATGAATAACTGGTAAGAGGCAGCATTCATCACATGGGATAGACACAAGCTTGCAGTCACAAAGCTCCACTAGCTCCCCTGTGGAGCAAAAGCCTGACCTGGAAACTGGTAAGTTGAAAGAAATCACTAATATGTTATGCAAGAGGGACTAGATACAGAGAGAACTAAACCCAAGATAGATCAAAGAGAGTGGAGGAAGCAGGGTCTAAGAGGGCATGATAGGGGTATACATCCATACAGGCCTCTTCTGCAGTTCAGGGAACTACAGATATGAATAGGAATTTAAAGTGCGTCTCCTGGCAAAAGAGGCAGGACTTAAGCAAAATAAATACGCAAAGGATCCTTTCCCCAGAGCTACAGGATAGAGGTACACCCTGTCATTTTCCCTGCTGCCCCTCAAGCTCCCAGACTGAACCACACACACACACACACACTAGCATCTCCAAAGCCAGGCTTCCCCTGAGCCTGGGTGACAGCAGACTGAATCCCTGCTTCTACAAAGTACACAAATCTGAGGTTAGGACCTGATTCAGCACAGCGCTTATGTAAATGTTTATCTTTAAACACATGTTTAAGCACCAGGGATGCGCCAAGGAACATACTGAAAGTTAAGCACCTGCTTGGGGCTGTTCCTGAAACAGGGCTCTACTGTGCAAACTCCCCCCAGCCTCCACAGGGTTCAAATGTATGTCAACATCATATAAACCTCCACCTTAATTTCCCTCCCATGCTTGGCTGTCCCTTAGGTTTCCCTATCTTTTCTCTAGGGAACCACTCCCACCTGCTGGAATGGGTCAGAAGACTTCTGTTAATAGTGGGAGTTAACTAACGAACCCTCCCTGTCTGTGGCACCTTAACCAATATCCTAATGCAGGAGCAGTCATGGACCGGACTACAGACCATATTGCTATATGCTGTACACCAACTTAATGAGAGCACACTGGGGCCTAATTTCCAAATTGGAAGACAGTTTTCATTAGTGTGTCCAAACACAACATGTGCAAATCAGGCTAGCCAGGCATCCGCTACTGATGGAGGAGTTGTTACAGCATGTGCAAATGAGGCATATTTTTTACATGCAGAAGCTGGCACTACGAGGTCCACACTGTATGAGTCAGTTGTAGATCCAATTTAACCAAGCCTCCACTATGCAAACAAAAATCCTCTTAAAATGCATTTATCCATGTTTCTCCAAATGCTTGTTTTGCTTTGGATGCCTCATTCTACCCCTCCTCCAGGCACTGCTGTCCCCCAAAGAACTCTCTTCTCTCTAAGGCTGATTGTCATATGGGGCTTGGAGACTTTCAAGTGACATTTGAGAAGCAAACTGTAATAAATGAATTCCACGCAGTGCTTATAAGGCTTATTGTCATGTATCCAGCTATTTGCTGGAGCTGAGTGAGTAATCCATGGAGAATAATTCTTTCAATGAATTTAGCTGATTTGGGAACATTTAGTCATTATTTGAAATTATTTGCCAAATAATGTCTGCAATAACTCTGGTGCTCCTGAGCTGTCTGGTGGGAGCATTCAATAATTGAAACTGTGGCTTGGCAAATTAGATTCTATCAGACACAAGGTGGGACACTTGTGAAAGATGCCTATGCCTGATTATGAATTACATTTGATGTGATTGATGTTTTTTGTGACCCAGTAGATCACCCGTGCTATAGAGCAGGAATTTGTCATATAATGGAGAGACTATCTGGCAAGGATATGAGAAGCCATGACAAAGCAGTCAAATACCATCATCACTGAATTAATCTCTCCTCCTGAGAACCCAAGGCTTTGCTACACAAGATTCATAGATTGTAAGGGGCTGAAAGGGACCTCACAGAACAGTGTGTCCAGCCCCACTGCTCTAGGCAGGAAGACAACTGGGGTCAAGTGACCCCAGGGAGGTGACTGTCCAGTCTCCTCTTGAAAACCTCCAGGGTAGGTGACTGCACTTCTTGACTCTTGACTGAATGGCTTGTCTTCACAGAGCTCTTGACTGAATGGCCTGTCTTCACAGAAACCTGCCTTGGTAAGAGAAAGGGCTAGAATCCTCTGAGGTTAAGTCCAAAGGTGGAAAGGCTTTGTTTTCTCCACAAGATCCAAAAGCTGGTAGCCTTCATAAAAGGTACTTTTTAAACAAACAAAGTCATTTTATTTCCCAAAATAAAAGACAAAGCTAGACCCAAAACTCAACTGCAAACTCAAGCCAAACCAGGGATAAGGGAAGAGGGGCTTCAGGGAGCTTGTTGCTTTCCACAGAAGTACTCCCATTTGCTTTTTAAGGATAAAAGGTTTGTATTTAAGAAATTCCTTTGCAAAGCCCTAAAGGGATAAAAGAAACCAGAACTCCCACTTCCAAGTGGTCTCTGTGGGGCATGTGTCCAAACAAGTGGGGACTCATGAAAGCTGTGCCACTGGATCCAGAATCTAGGCAGCCAGACTACAGGTCCTATCGCCCGAGGAATGAATAAGATGTAGTACCACAGGGATCCAGAGCTAGAAGCAGTGACCAGTAGCTTGTGGGACTCAGCAGCTGAATCCAATCACAACAAAATGGTGTCCCCTAGGACCATGGGGCTGTATCAGAAGTGACACAAGATTCTCTATCATTTCTGCCTGTTCTTTCACTCTGCCCCACCCATAGAGGAGAATAGGGGCAAACAAAGGAAGCTTGTGTGGGCACAGATAAGAATCAAACAGGCATGAAGTGGAGCATTTCATTTTGATCTTCCCCACCATAAAATAGGAACAAAGTAACAAATATTGATATTTTCCCCACAGAAAATGTAATTTTGTGGAAATCACATTTTCTGCTAAAAATATTTTGATGGGAAGTTTCTAGTTGGGTGTATTCAGCCCCCGTTCACCTTCCACAACAGCAGCGCCCCAACGAAAAAGGTCGATTCCAGCAATAACGAGACAGGCTTCACCCCTAATAGCAGCACAAAAGGTTCATGAGCATTCATCAGATCTGAAAACAGATTTGAAGGGAAACCAAAGGTATCTATACACGTGCTCGGGGGAGGAGGGTGGGGGTGCTTCAATTGCTCCATTTAAAGAGCCCAGAGCATTTCATGTATCACAGTCCCCACACTTCAAAATGGTGGTAGGGAGGCTTTATCTAAAGCTCATTCAACAAGCTTGGAAGTCCGGAGACCCTGATACACAAGACACAGAGGGTGACCAGAGCTCAGTAATTACCACACTCCAGTAGACTCGATTAATCAAATCTGCTCCAATGCACTGTAATTATAGTGTCGGAGCAGCCTCCACACTCATGTATAGGCACCCTAAATTTCTGAGAAACCTCTCACTAGAAAATGGGATCCTCCATTTTCTGAGTCACTCATTTTGTTGGTATACAAAAGATTGGTCATTACTGTGATTATTGTTGATTTGTATCAGGCCCAGGCAGTGATCAGGCACTATTTTTGCTTGGCATGCCTAATGTATAGCATGGAGATGGTCCCTGTCTCAGAGTCCATACAGCTAGAACTGATCAGGAAACAGCATATCACTATACAAATATCTAATTATATGGATGAGATTCACTGACATCAATAGGTGATCCAGCCTCAGAAGGCTAACTCTAGAAATGGGGCTTACTTAAGCACAGTGGGAGGTTACCCAACACAGTCATATGGCTCATCAGGGGTAAAAAAAAAAACGTCTTCCAGGAGATTTGCCCCATATGGATATGTTTTGCTTTTGAGAGTGAGAAATCAGCCAACATGGCTCTGTCTATGAACAATGGAGGACTGATGATCTCCTAATTGATCATAGATGGTGGAAGATGGGGCTGCTCTTACCAAATCATCTCTTTGTTTCTTACCCCACTTTTCCCCTGGGTGTTTTCTCACCTGGCTGTCCAGACCTAACATCATTAGCATAGAGAAGAAGAGAATTGACCAGAGAGGAGACATAGGCAACTGTGTAACAACTTGTGGGTAGGCAAGAAAAGCCAGTCCTGGACCTAGAGTAATGAAACACAATGAACAGTTTATGTCTGTAAAGCATTTTGACAGCAAGATAAGTCAGAGCAAGTATTATGATTAAACAGAGAGACTACAGCAGCGAAGAACTGCCAATAGTTAATATGAACTCCATAAAAAAAAAAAAATCTCTGCTCCTCCTTGCCTGGGACATACCCAAGGTATATGAAGCATCTCAAAGAGGAAGGGTGAAGGACTGTCAACAGGCATTAGCTCTTTCCCTCCCCATGAAGAAGAATGCTGTGGCTTTACCATACACAACAGAACTAGAGAGCTGGAACTGGACAAACTATTTCTGATTTTATTAGAAATGTTCATTTTGTTGAAATCAAAACTTTCTGTGAGAATATGACATCAACTAAAATTCATTTTGGGAAAGCAACCAATCAAGCCGTTGAAAGATCAAAAATGAAATTTGGACTTTAAAAGGTTGGAATTTCCCACAAAAAAAGAAGCTCTTAGGTTTGATCATCTCTGCAAAAATATCATCAGAACTTAGGTGCTACAAAGGAATAGTACTGTAGCAAACCAAGCACTGTAAGTCTTCCTTTAAGTATATCAATAACAAAACTAGGTAGACATAAAAAAGCACAAAAGACTCTTAGTTTAGTTGGAAGTCTGAGTGCAATAATCACTTGAGTCTATCAGGAATAAGCTTCCTCAGCTATTCTGGAACAAGCACTTTTCCATCTGCATTAGCCATACCTAAAGTCTCACTCTACCAGTCTCCTGAGCATCCAGTACCTAAAGCTCTCAGAGAAGTGAGTTACACACTTGAACACGAATCAGAAAAGCTCTGTGAAAGTGATATGCCAACTGGCACATACATTATTACAAATAATTATATTTGGGACATTTGAAAAATGTTTTTCTTTTTCTGGGTAACTTCAACTAAGTTCATGGGCCAGATCTTCAGTAGTTCAAATGTACTAACTTCATAAATCCTCCTGAATTATGAAAAAGAAAAAGAAGGGCACAAACAGGAGAAGTAGTTTGTCCAAGCTCACAGAGCAGGTCAGTGGCAGAGCTGGAAATGAGAGTGAGCTTTCCTGATTTGCAGGCCAGGACCTTATCCACTAGATAACAATACAGGCAACATCTGCTTACCTGAAGATGCCAGCTCAGCGATCGACTTCTTGGTGATGTGAGACATGAAACCAACAATGGAAAAAATAACAAATCCTGCAAATAGGCTGGTGGTGGAATTTATACAGCAGACAATGATGGAGTCTCTGAAAAAGAAAAATAGATGTGAGAAAACCTTCTTCATTTCTGTTCCCATCAGTTGATTAGAACAGAACAACAGTTGGGTTCTCAGAGGAAGCTGGAAATGAGGCATAAGGATGAACATGAGAAGTGTCATACTAGGTCAGACCAATGGTCCATCTTGCCCAGTATCCTGTCTCTGACAGTGGCAAGTGGTCAGTGCTTTAGAGGGCAAGTACACATGCAGAGCATGTCTCCTGGATGGATCTAGGATTTTGAAAAGAGGTGTGCAGATGATATGGTGCATCATCACATATACCATGACACATTTTTTCTCCTGTTAAAGAAACTAGAAGCTTTATAAATATGCTAAGGGGGCAGCACTACATTATTCAATTTAAGATCAAAGCGAAAGCAAATATAATTGTATTAGCATGTTCACTAGTTTGCTAGATTATCTATTAAGTTTTAAAAAATATGAAAAACTAGGCAAAAATGGTCAAAATAGTCAAAAGACATGGTGTCATTAGTCCTGTAGTCATTATAGTAAAATGTACATCTCTTATTCAAATTCACAAAATGTAGTCTTCTTGAGTGTCTTGACAGAATTTCCAGCACTTCACTGTCAGTCATTTCTACACACAAATTAATATTACTATATCTGAGTTAAAGTTTTTAGCTAGGACTAAAAACAGTCTGCAGGATTATGAAATACAAGAGAGAATAGAATAGAAGAGCCATTACCAAGAATGGATAACAGACAACAATATTGCAGAAGAAAGGATAGTTTGAATAGTGGAACATCAAGACCATTAAAATGGAGAGAGGGTTGTTAACACCTGTGGAATGAAGAGACCTTAGTGGGAATCAGATTAATGATAATGAGCCATGAAGTCCATTGCCACTGCACCTTCTAGGCAGTCAGTTTAACGTGTAGGCAGAGCAAAAATCAAAGGGAGGTACAATTGCATCACTGCACCCCCAAGGATCCACCCCTGGCATGTCTAGTGTAATTCAACCCATGTCTCACGCTCCCTGGCTTCGACCATCATTGGTTTAGGGATGTCAAAGGCAGTAGTGTAACTAAAGCAGGGCAACTGGGGCACTGGCCCCGGGCATCAACTTGAAGGGCAGAAAAAATAACAGCTGCCACCACAGCTGTGTGATTGCATTGGCAGCTGGAAGTTATCGATACTCTGGTGCTGCATCACCACTACTACCTTGGGTGTCCAGCTGCCACAACCACCTGTGGCAATGCATTTCACAAATTAACTATGTACTGAGTAAGAAAGTACTTCCTCTTGTTTGTTTTAAACCTCTGTCCTGTTAATCTCAGTGGGCATCCCCCTGCTCTTGTATTCTGGGACTTTGTGAATAGCAGTTCCCTGTTCATTTTATCTATGCCATGGTTTCATAGAGGTCTGCCATAACCCACCTCATCCTTCTCATTTCCCACCTGAAGAGTCCTAGACTTTTAAAGCATCCCCTGGTATAGCAGCTGATCAATACCCCGATCATCTTTGTTGCCCTTCTCTCGTTTTTCTAATTCTACAACATGCTTTCAAGATGTGCAGACCAGAACTGCATGCAGAATTCAAGATGTGGGTGCAGAGGCGGTGCAAATCAGCTGGAAGCCTGCAGTAGCTGCAATTAATGGAGGTAGCGGTGACTTCCACCTGCTGCCATGATGCTGACAGGATTGTGCAACTGCGGCAGCAGCTGCTATTTTTTCACCCCCTGACCTTCAAGTCGGTGTCTGGGGCTGCAGTCTTGGTTGCCCCAGCTTAGTTGCAATATTGCGTGAGTGCACCATAGATTTATACAGTAGACAAGTGAGAGAGGTCTAAGTTGTGAAGGACAGAGGTGCAGTATATGATTTGTAAGTGTGCCATTGCCAGAAGATGGTCAGATATCAAGACCAAAGGTGAGACCTTAGTTGCATGTTGATAGACTGCAGAGTGCAGGGTCAGATGCTAATGGGCCAGACTGTGAACACTTTACTCTTGCTGGTAGTGGATGCTCATGGGAGTAGATTCAGAGGCTGCACTAGAATTGCTCCTATGACTCAAGTAGTCACCAGGATAAGGCAGAAGTTCAAAATATGTTTCTACATGTTCTTCTACTTGCAGAGGCATTTGAAGAATGATGTGTTTAACACACCTGTAGACATTGTTGTGAAAGGTGTTATAGCTTCCCAGGGCAATCAGAGACCCTAGGCCCAGTCCATAGGAGAAAAAAATCTGTGTGGCTGCATCCATCCAGACCTGCAAAGGAGAGACAGACTTAGTTTATACTATTGTCAGGCAGAGTCTGTTTAACCCCATCTCCCAATCAAAGTTTCTGCATCTGCTTAGAAAAAAAATGGTCATCATGTCTATGACACTTTTCTGTGGAAATGCTGAAGGTCATTTGGTCAAAACCTTTTTACAAGGAATTAAAGAACAAACTACACCAATGTACTCCAGAGATGAATATCAGCATCCAGTATAAAGGGCTGTGGTGCTCTTCCACCTTTGCCAAACTGATTTCTGCTCAGATGGAGCTGGGACAGAAGAGCCAGCTGCAGAAAGACTCCCACGTGGCTACTTAGCTCCCACAGCACCAAAAGTAAACAGAAGTTTGTGCTGAAAATGGGGTCACATCGAAACCTCGTTTGTTCAGATTACAGCAGTCCCACGTCCTGGGGATGTCTGTAGTCTTCAGCCCAAGCCTTCCTCGTGTCTGACACAGGTCATGAGAAGGCTTCAAAGGGTTTCACATTGGGGTTCATTCCCCATAAGCACCCCAGAAGAGGCTGTTTGCCCAAACCTATCAAACCTCCTGGGCCAGCCAAATGGAAGTCTTACAAGAATGGTCTTTTGTATTTTATTTCCTTTACAACCTGTTTCTTGTGAACCAGAAGTGCCAGAAAAATCAGAGGTATCCCTGAGGTATTGTGCCTTGGGAAAACCATGCTGGACAGTTGGAGGGGTGGGGAGAGGGCAGAGGAGGGAGGTGCTGCTAAGCACCAGAGGGAAGGGGATGCTGAGAGTGGGTGTGGGAGGGGAGGTGCTGCTGAGTGCCAGAGGGGCGAGGGGGACCAAGAGCCAGGTGGGGAGCAAGTACAAGCGTCTTACCTGATCTGAGGACTCAAAAAAGTCCCCGGCTGCTGCTGCTGGGGTATGGTCTGCCCACCTCAGTTGTTACTCCTACAATAGCTGTGAAGTGACTGTCCACCCAGCTGCTGCTATCCAGGCGTGGACTCCCTGGGAGAGGCACCATTTTGGCAACCCCACTAAGTTTGCATCCAGGGTTTGTGTCCTGCTCAGCCATCCCAAGTTATACTGTACTACTGAAAGGACAGTTTTTCTCTCCATAGGTCAGCACTTCTACTTCCAGGGTCAGCAAAAGGTCAAAAAACCAGACACATGGAGAGGAAAAAATCAATGGGGATGATTGTTAAGGGCTGCATTATTTTTTTTAAGATTCTAGCTTCAGTAGCATATGCATGAATGGGTATAGGTGCATGCAACGCAGAACACTTAAGTGAACCTCAGGGAGACATGTTGCCTGCTGGCAACACAGCATCTCCTGCATCTCCCCTGTGCCTGGCAAGAATACATGTTGCTCCTCCGCAGAGGCGGACAAAATGAGCACTCTCCTTCACAGCCAGCCCAACAACACTGGTAGAGGGGGTGAAACAGTGGGACATGGCATTTGCCTCTCACAGTCTGCTCTGGGACTCCTACCAGTCCAAGGGTAAGAGCGGGAACCAACCCCTGCATTTAAGAGAGACTGATAAAACAGGAAGCCTTCGTACATCCTCCTCAGCTGGCAAAAACACCAAGGGCGCAGACAGAAGAGCAGCTCCCTGTTGTAACTCATAGCACTTTGCAGGAAGTGCTACAAGTTGAAAAGGTCCCCAAGACCCCAAAAAAGTCTGCTGTTGGGTCTGGAAGTTGGGGATTCCAGCTGCTTGCTGTGATCCTGCAACCTAGTTTCCATAGCAACGTATGCCACTCCACCCTGCCACCCCAGACCCTGTTTTCAGAATGGGAGGGGGAAAGGCAGCAGAGGGAGCTTGTTCTTGAGATTCCACAGTCGGCACTGGAGAGCCCCATCCTCCAGCGCTCGCTGAAAGGACCCCCAAACCAAAATCCCTCTGCTTCCTTTCCCCCGTCCCTTTCTGAAAATAGTGACAGGCTTGGAGCTCCGCAGACACAAGTTACAGAACGTGCGGTTTTGAAGTATGTTCATCTGAACCCTCATGCAATAGGAGTTCAGATTTTCACAGGATTGGGCCCTTATAAAGCAATTTGCAGCCATGCGCTTCTGTTTGGTCACAGCTGTAGACCGCCTTCTGGGGTTAGATCAAGCAAAAATTGTCACTTCTGTCTGTACCCCTAGAGCCTGGCACAACATGTTTTTCAAAGAGCATCCAAGAATATTCAAAAGGACTTTGCCTTAGGTTTAGTTCCTTGAAATAGGCAAAGACTTGAGTGGGGTAGGGCAGGAGGTGAGATTGTTCTGCACCATTTCCTTTACCTCTTAAGGCAGATCAATGCAGGGCCCTCCTGAATGAATGACAGGGTTTATGGAACATCAGTACTTGCAGCAAGGTTACCAAAACTCATGTTTTATCACAAGACTCCCTGTATTTGGTGCTTTACTTAGAGTCCTACTCCTCAAGTCACCTGACTATATGAGTTTCTTTTGATAAAAAGCTGTCTTGTAGCTGACATGGTTGCAAAGAAAAGCTTTAAAATATACAGGTAGTTCCGGGGTATTTAACTGTTCACAGCCAAAAAGGTTAAAAAAAAAAAAAAAGCAGAACATAGTGGGTTTTGTTTTTTAATTGCCTGATGCTTAAAATTATCTTTTATTTTCTTGGGACCCTCCTGCATGGTTTTGGAATACTTGTGGGTGGCTGTAATGTTATAGTGGAGTGTCTGCTACAAAAAAAGGATCTCTCAGTAAAGCAAGACTGTCACCACTTGTATGTGACTGGCAATGTCACAGACCTCTAAGTTACTTTATAACATAGTGTTCTCAGTGTTGGCTGAGAAACTTTGCCTCTACAAGCATCCCTGCTTCTCCTGGGACTCTGTTGTGCTTCCACATATTAAGGCAAAGTGACATGGCTATCACTTGTAATTTAAACCCTTCCACCAAAAATAACAGTGACACCTATTGCTGAACTGGTACCAGTCCCAAATTACACAGACCAACAGCACTTGACTCCATTATCTCCTCTTCCTGGGGCTGCATTAACTAGCCAAAATGGTCACCCTTACAA